GACGAACACGTAGAGGAAGAAGATTCGTCACGTGCGTGAAAAGTAAGTTGGCAAGAAACTTGGGGCATTTGTGGGACGATAATGTTATAATAATCTACTCAATTAATAGTCTGAAGAACGAAATTACTCACCTGAAAAAACGAGTGACGCAGCGTAAACGTCTTACATCTCTGATGGTATTAACACTTTGCGCTACTGGTTCGCGGACCATAACGAGCGACCATTAACCGTGCACGATAATTCGACGCTTTCTTTTTCTATTGAACTCGTCGGTATGATCACTGGATAGATATTATTAAGAAGTAATAAGCTTCTTAGATATTACTAAGAAGTAATAAACTTATCATTTGTTTTGCCCAAGATAACATTCAAATATACTTAAAACTGAGAAAATGTTGCAATTCTCGACGTCATTCCAGCGCTTAAACGTGTAACGTCTTGTATCTTTGATAATATTTAAAAAACAAAAAAAAAAAAAAAAAAAAAAAAAAAAAGAAAAGAAACAACGTTGGAATACTTTGCCAAGGACTGTAGTATCAATTTACTTGTATGTAAATAACGCGGATAATTACCTTTGCCCGATAAACACTAACTCCCCTAAAATAGCACGCGGCCAAAAGCAAGCCGGCCCGAATTTCAAACAACCGGCGACAAGTGCAACATTACCATTTACCGTTCCACGCGCTATCAGTATCGGGACAGAATTTGCTCCGTTCGTTTATCCTCCCCGCGGACATTCAATTAGGACGTCGCTTTGCTTAAAAAAGCAAACGACGACGTACAATGGGAGCGGGTAATCAGAGGGAGGCGGAGTCGCGGAGTTTCGAACGAGGCTCGGACTTTCTCTGCACCCTCGCGAACAATTGGGAATCGGCAGACTCCGTGTCGCCGTGTCGTTCGTTTCGATTCCGAAAATAGCGCCGTTCGTTAACGATGGTCATTCACCGAGTGTGCAACGAGGCGTGCAGATCGGCGGCACGCGTTCGCCGTTTTTCCGCGCGACGGAATCTCGGAATCGGCGTGCATCGGAGAATCGGATGATCGTCGTCGTTGCCATCTTCGGCGTAACCGCGTTGGCGTGGCGCACAGGTGGTTTATTTATAAACGTGCTGCGAAAGAGAGGAAACGGGTAGTTGATCGATGCGTACGGACCGGTAGCCGATCGATCGTAAACGAAGCGAAGAGGAGAGGAAGCGGCTTTAAAATAGACTGAGCAGAGGCGATCAACGGCCGATCGATCGGGAACAACGGGATAGCGGTGGCCACTTTTATTTCAGTGGTTCGCGTCGATGACCCGGTTGGGGGCTTCTTCACCCCTCGTGACGTTTATTTTTATCATAGGTCATCCCTGTGGGCCGTGCTCCTCTTCCTGGTGGTCCTTCTTCGCGCTGAAGTTCGAGGGATGATGCCTCGCCAATTTCAAACGCGCGTCCTCGTTGAGCAAAATTCTCAGTGGGCAGCATCGATCGTCCACCAGTCGAATGAAAAAAGAAAAAGAGACGTCATTGGGGGGCTTCTTCCTCCTTCCCCCGTTTATTTCTAAACGTTGTGTATCGTAGATTAATTCTCTTGGCCGAGCCTTTCTCTTGCTGGTGTGTCGAAATTCGAAGGATCCTTTCCCGCCAATTTTCACGCTAAAACTATCGAAAATTTCCATCGGAATCGTTGAAAAGCCTCGTAGTGTCACGATCACGGTAAATTAAACCGAGGTTTCGTTTGCACATTTTCTCGAACGATCGTTAAAATTTTTAAATATACATTTCACGTTTTGCGTACGATAGCTGTAAAATTTCTAAGAAAAATTATAAATCGGTCATTTTGCGAAACCACCGCAGATGTTCATTGATCGAAAGAAAGAAAAAAAAAAAAGACATCTTTTGTCTTTGGGAAATTTCGCCTGATTTACCTGCTTCTACTTCGTCGTTTGCTTTTTTTGATACTATACAGGCCGGCACCACGACTGTGCGTCATTTATAAAATAGTGTTTAGCAGCCGATGACGCAATTTTGAATTTTTTTAGTACACACAAATCATTAGAACGGTTATCGGTAATTATAATTAATCTGTAGTTATAATTTTAGTTACGTTTATATATAACAGATGGCCTATTTATTGATCATAGAAATATGAGAAAATATGAATGCGATGCAAGAAGTCCAACGTAGGCATGGAGAGCTTTTCTTTTTTAAAAAAGATCAGAGTCGTGAAAGTCGTGTGAGAACGTTGAAAGAGAACAATTAAAAAATGTCAATTGTGTTGTTAAAAGAATTGATTCGAGTCGTTAATTCGTGTTGTTTTAAAGTAATTTGTCTTGTTTATTTGTTGTTCTATTGTCATAATTTTCATTAAATAAACATTAAAAAAAAGACCAGAGTCGTGTGAGAACGTTGAAAGAGAACAGTTAAAAAGTGTCAATTGCGTTGTTAAAAAGAATTGATTCGAATTGTTTTAAAGTAATTTGTCTTGTTTAATTATTTCTTGTTCTATTGTCATAATTTTCATTAAATAAACATTTTAAAAAATCCAGAGTCGTAAGAGTCGTGTGAGAACGTTGAAAGAGAACAGTTAAAAAGTGTCAATTGCGTTGTTAAAAAGAATTGATTCGAGTTGTTAATTCGCGTTGTTTTAAAGTAATTTGCCTTGTTTAATTATTCGTTGTTCTATTGTCATAACTTTCATTAAATAAACATTATTTATATTGTATCTCTACAAATATAAATATAACAAAGTTACCTCGATCTCTCTCCCTCGTTCTACATTATTTTCACGAGAAAAGTGCCCGCCACTCGCTGGGCATGGTCACGCGAAATAATCGCCTAATCGATGTCCTAATTGAATGTCGTTGCTCTACCACCGCGAATAAACGAACGAAGCGAATTGTACGATCGTGTCCGGATTAGTAACGCGAGAATGGAAGAACGTCGCCCGCAAGAGAGAAAAAGAGAGAGAGAGAGAGCGAGCGAGCGAGCGAGCCTTGAGTGAAGCAAAGAGGTTCGTGAGATGCGAGGAGGACGTTGGATGCAAATTCATCCGCGAGTGGAAAGCAGCGTCGGTCGGTTTCGATCCCGGCGGCTAATGGTTAGAGAAACAGGCATGCACACGGTAGAACGAAACTCTCTGTCAGGTTTCACGGAATCGACGACCTCCTCTCGAGGCTATCGGGGGAGGATCACGACTTGCCGGAACGTTTCTCGCAACGTCGCGAACGTCGGCACGGCGAAAGCAACAGACGAAAGTGCCTCGGTCCGCCCACGGGCTCCTCGAAGATTGGCCTTTTTCTTTTTTCTTCTTTTTTTTTTTTCTCCTTTAACTGCCAAAGTCCCGACAACAGCAGTCCGCGCTGGCTCTTTAGCTTTTCCTTCGGTATCTCTTCGCGATTGGTCGCCGTTCCTCCCTTCGTAAATGAATCCCCCTCCCTCCCCCCTCGATACTCGGTCGTTTTCATTCCTCTTAATAACAGACGGCAGCCTCGCGGCGGCCGTCAATGTCGACCTTGATCCACGCCCTGATATGGCGCGAATGAATTTCGGAATCCGCCGTGGATCGCCATGTTATCGGGAGTGTGTTGGTTAATTTCATGCCACGGACTTTCGCGGCATCGCGAAAGGCAAAGGGAAAGGAAGAAGCATCCATCGAAGGAGGAGGGTCCGCCGATCTCTTTTAGAGACTTGAAATTGAAATACATCGGCCGTGATAATTGGGCTGGATGGTCGTTCTCGTTTCAACGATCCGTCCTTAGAGAGACGACATGTTCGTTATGTTTCACCTTGTAAACGTCCCCTTGATAAAGCTTAATGCAACGGGCCGATCTCTAATGTGATGTTTTCGCATCCGCTGTAGATCGAACCTATCGGGGCAGAAATAATCCTTGATTACAAGGTGCGCGGCGACTCTCGTCCGTTTTATCTCTATGGTCTCGTTCGTAAAAATCTATGAATAACCTTGCACGATAGTCTTCCAGTCTATCGGTCTGTCGCGACTCGCCAAACCAAAACTTTTCGCTTCGGAACGAAACAGAACGCTGGGCTCGTGCCTCTCTTACATTTGGATCGTTTCTCACGTCGTTGTACGACGTGCGAGTTTTTCGAAAATTCGAGAAACGACCTCGGCGGAATCGTCGCGCGATTTCACACACGAGCGACACGAGTTTTTACCAAATCGCCTATTAACGTAAAAACGCGGCCGACGATTTTTCTTCGTCGTCGAGCGCTCGCTTTTTTCCCTCCCTCGATGAATCTCGTTTTACGAGTCGCCACGATTGCTTCGACTCGATTGCTTCGGGTTTTTTTGCCACTCTGGCGCCCGAGTGCAAAAATCGACGAATCGTCGCTGACGAGTAACGGGGGGCGGTTAATCAGCCGCTAAACGGCGAGTTTTTTTTTTTTTTTTTTTGTTATTTTATTTTATTCGGGGATCGGCGAATGGGGCGAGGGAACGTACGACGACGCCGTCTCGGCTTCTCGAATCTGATGTCGCATTAACAGTAAAGATTTCACTTTCCCCGCCGCTCTGATAGCCGGCCGCACGTTTTTATTTCTCTGCCGATAACGCATCAAACGAACGCGGCCAATAACGGGCGGCGGGCATTTGCATACGCGAATTCGCCTGGAAATGGGGGAGACTTTTACCTCGACGCGTAGGACGCGTTATCGGCGAAATTGCCGATCGAGTGAATAAAGAAACACGCGCAAAAAAGGAAAAAAAAAAAAAGAAAAAAGAAATGAAAAGAGAAAGATCAACGACGTTCCCTCGCTTGACAAGTCTACATTACCGACCGTTGTCACCGAACGACGCGCGCGAATTCTCCAGATCGTTCTCTCGATAATCGAATCGTTTCACCGCGAATATATCAGATCGAGCGATTAGATCCTTACGCGATCGCGATCCCGGCGAGAACGAGGGTTTACATCGTGTTAAATGTTGAAAGTGTCGCGCGATGGTACCGCGGGGATTTCGTGTTTTCGTGGTCAGAATTACCGTAGCGTTGTTCCGAGATTTAGGATCGTGGCGTGGTAGTGTCGTTTGACATTCGTCCTGACGTCAGCTTTAACGTTGTCAAGTCGTACATCGAGATATATAGGGAGAAATTAGAAAACAGAGGTAACCTTTAGTTCGTATATGTATTTTGTTATATTTGTGTATTTTGGTGTGGTTTATATATCATAACCTTGATTTTAGCTTATGATATGTAAACTTAATCTTGAGTTTATATCATTATGTCATATATGTGTATAGAACTTAGTTTTAGGTTATGATATATAACCTTGATTTCAGATTACAATACATGGAGTTTATGCATATAGAAGTTATGATTAGTTAGTGCATATCATATGCATAGAGGTTATAACAAGTTAGTTTATATCATATATGTGTATTTTGATGTTTTGGCTTTAGGTTATGATGTATATATATATATATATATACAACTTATATAGAGCTTGGTTTTAGGTTATAATATATAAACTCCAGGCAAATAACTTGAAGTTATATATATCATATATACAGAGCTTATATATCAAGATACATAATCTTGATTTGTAAGTTATGATATATAAACTCAAGGTAGGTAACCTTGAGTTTATATCATTATGTCATATGTGTATAGAACTTAGTTTTAGGTTATGATATATAACTTTGATTTCAGATTACAATATATAGAGTTTATGCATATAGAAGTTATGGTCAGTCAGTGCATATCATATACATACAGGTTATAACAAGTTAGTTTATATATCATATATATGTATTTTGATATGGTTTGGCTTTAGGTTATGCTACATATATACAAATTATATAGAGCTTGATTTTAGGTTATAATATATAAACTCGAGGCAAATAACTTGAAGTTATATATATAGAGCTTATATATCAACATACATAATCTTGATTTTTAGATTATGATATATAAACTCAAAATAGATAACGTTTTCTTTGTATGTCATAACCTAAAATCAAGATTATATATCTTGATATATAAGTGCCTTTATTTTGAAATTTGTGGAAGACTGAATGGTAATTGATTCTCATTCTCTCAACATTTTTTGGTCAAATCATTGGAAATAACTGAAAAATTGTGGTGATGGTGCTTGCATGTTCAAGATTCAAGTATAACTACACAATATCCAGGCTTCTATATACTTGTTAAAATCCGTGTCTATTTGAACGTTGCAAGAGTGTGCACTTAAAATTTGTACGCTCTTCTCAACAATCGTTTAAACATTCATATTAATACAAATCTGCTGTCAGAGTTACTCTTGATCGTTTTTTTTTTTTTTCGAAAAGTTCGAATTGCTACGAGTATTCTGCTTGTGTGTTAAAATATACCTAAAATATTTAAAATACGATCTTACTTCGTTTATCTATAATTCTATAATTGGCAATTAATAGAATCAGCTGCATTTTGTTTCTCAGAATTTTGATTTTGACAGTTATTATAGTTGACAGAGTTATTTGAACCGAGTAATATGTTTCTTGTTTCTTCTTTATATTTCTATATATTTCATAGGAAACAAAATCTCATCGAAACGTTAAACTCGAACGATCGACTTTTGGCCATGGAAACATGGTTTTTGGATTACTGGTGGACGTGACGTCTTTTCACCGCGACTCCCGCTCTCACAAGTCCGTGAACACGGATGAATGGGATTCATTTTTCGGTAGCTCGGTTCGCGATTGCGTCACGCCGTTGCGGACGATCGACGATCGAGCGATAAAGCGACGGAAGTCGATATAGGCCGGCGGCCGAGTGAACCTAAAATCCCCGGAATTTGCGAGTGGCTTATCGCGGATAGAAAGTGGAATTCGATTCGACCGGGCACGCGGCACGATTTCACGGTGTTTGCGTAAAATCGATATCAGCTGGGCGACGATAAGACGTTCGTTTCGAGTGGTCTGGAAGCGGTTACTCGATCGAAAGGAAAATCAGGGAAAAACCCGATCTGATAGCGTATACGGCTCTCGAGAAAACCAGTTTTCCCACCGATTCAAGTAACTTTGCTGGAGGGAATCCGGCGTTAAATTCTCGGGCTTTTGTTGCCCTCTGTGTAAGGTTCAGCAACCGCGATTTCAAATACAGTGAATTCGAATTAACGTAGCATTACGTTACGAACGTTCTACAAAACGATATTGTGCAACGACGAGTCTTCGTTCTGAAGATTGAAGCGCCTGTACCTTCAAGATGCATCGTTCATTTCATCTTAAAACGTGAGGACGCTTTCCTCTCTCAGAAAATTGTCGCACCGAGTAAAAACATTGGAACATTTTTTTCTTTTTTCTTTTATGATTGAATTTACAACAGATTTGACGATTGGAGCCTCCCCAAAGATTTGTTTTATTATAGCATTGAGTATCGGATGAAAACGAATGTACATCAAGCACCTTTCGATAGTCATAAATGGGAGGCTTCGATCTTCACGTTCATAATAGATTCAGCCATGAAAAAGCTTCCCGTAGTGCTCTCACGTACTATGAGAATTTTTGCACATTTCTCTTCACTTATCCACCTTATGTATATACTACGATATAGAAACGAGCATTTCAGAATAAAACGAGTAACATACTTTGAAAGTAGAGACTATAAGCTTCGATAGAAGTTATTCAAGTTCGTTACGATTTCTTTTTGCAAAATCATAGCAGCTTAAGCATTTAATTAATATTCGGGATTCACTGGAAACTTTCGCAGACGCGCACGAGAAGCGTGGAAGATCGGCGTCGAGTTTCTGGCCGACGAGATACTCAACGCAGAAATCGTCTGTGTTCCTTTACTGCAGGAATTTAATATAAGTGCGCGTCCTCGATATCTTAAGGATTTTCCTCGCCTTGGTTGCAGGATTTGCAAAAAAGAAAAAAAGAGGAAGAAGAAAAAGAATGAAGCTTGAGCAATTCAACCTTACATCCAGGCTTTCTGATACAGCCAACGAGATTATTAAACACTTTGATCTCGATCGCTTTAATGATCTCACGATCACGAACGGAACGGGAAACACGCAAAGCGACGCGTTCTCTTTCATTTAAGTATGACACAATATTGTTACGTTTTACATTTACGTTTTTCGCTGCACCGCTTTGTCGTTTGTTCTCTGTCGTCTCGCTTCATTCCCTTTATTCCGTTTCTTTCACGTAGCTTTTCAGCCCTCGGGTGAATCGAGTTTGAGAATTTATTAAGTACGCTGGAGTTGGTTCAACGGGAGAAAGAATAATTAAGTGGAAATTGCTCGGCGTGTCCAAAAGCAAGTCAAACACGTGCAGTAAAATTTTTTTCTCCATTTGCAGCTTCGTTTTCGAGGAAATGGACTAGACGAGTGTTGTGAAAACGGAGCACTTTGAAAAGAATTTTATTACACATTTTCGATTTACTTTTTGTAGAACAAACCCCCTTGATAATAATTTTTATTATTAATTGCTCTTTTCGACCACGTCTGGAATTAATCGAATTCAAGTGTACTTGTAGTCTGCAAACTACATATATATTATATAAATGATACCATGGAAATTAAATAGAAATTCTCCAGATTCAAAAGATTTATTTAAAAAAAAAAAAATCAAATTTCAACAATTCGATCTTACAGCTCTGATCTCTATTTTTCTTAACAACTCTCGATCTTTCATATTAAATACAGAAGCAATGAGTTTTCTCTTCTCCTCCCCGCCTCCCTCAAAAAAAGAAAAAAAACTTTACATTTACATTCTCATTGCTGTATTCACTGTTTGTTTAGCTCGTCGTTTTATCACTTCCTTTTCTTTGCTTGATGGACCTTCTCGTTGAACAAACAGACTTCACCACTGTACGATCGCACGGTGCTCGGATCCGTCTTTTCTCTCCTCCTCTCCTCTTTTCCACCTCGCTTCGCGATTTAGACAAAAATTTACATTCCGCCGCGCTCGATAAGCTTATTATTGAGACGTTGGGAAAATGAACGAGGCGTCGGCAAATTTACGTAGAGCACACGATCCGCAACGTGTATATAATCTTTTTTTCACTTGGCTTATCAACGATCGGACGAAACACATTCTCTTGATATTTCAAACACGTTTCAACGATTACTTAGTATGTACCGTGTTCCGGACGCAAGCTCGGTGTAGCACGTTTCTCGCTAGCTAGTTTTTCCTTCGCTCGAGGATCGAGTGGCTCACTGACAGTCCCAGATCCGGAATTCCGACTCGAAATGAGCCGAGACAGACACCACTGGCTGGCTAGTGAAAGCTTCAAATTCCCCGGCGACGATCTGTTTTTTCCCTCAGCGGTTTGCCGTGACGGTAAACTTATAAGTGTAACAGCCGGTGTGATAAATTATGTAAATTATCGTACAACAGGTGGTAATTAATGCAGATCACCGGCGTCGATAAACACTCGCTCGTCCGTTTATGCCGACTGACTGAGATTTCGATATGAAATCGAAAAGGAACAATTCCGTTGCGAACTGCTTTATGGCATAGCCGGGATAAATTACAGAAACGATCTGTTGAGTCGAGTCCCCCCGAGGGCTCGTAAATCTTCTACGATGATTTGATATCCTTGTTAGATATTTCGTATTTTCTGCGAGTGTCTGAAAAAAAAAAAAAAAAAATAGAAATCGCCCGTAAAGTGTCCCGATATTACCTCGACGAGATACTCGCATTACAGTCTTCTACACTCTTCGCGTATAAAATAGAAAATATTTCAAGCTTCGATATTATCTGCAATTATATTTCTGTCGTCGGGAGATGTCAGCAAGCGTGCAGCAACAGCGAGCGAGAAACTTTTATGACAAAGTATCGACATTGCCAACTATGTTTTGCTTCTCGTTCCTTCCTCGCAGAAATAAATGGGAAAACCATAAAGGGTAGAGGAGGGAGGATGGGGGGGGGGGGGAATATTTGAAACTTCGATGTTATCGCGCGAGTATCTAGAAAGTACATTTCTGTCACCGATCCGCGCGCGCGGCGATTGCAAATTAATAACTTTTCCATAAAGTATCGATATTGCTTCGTTAAGATAAAGCCGCGATAAAATACACTCGCGCGATTTTTCTGCATTCCCGACGCAGACGCAAAATAGAGAAGTAGCCGGTGAAAATATTTTCAGCCAACGATGTTATCTACAAATACGCGGAAAAATATAT